CAGCAGGTGTTGCTTGTCTTGCAACCCAGAAACAAGCTAAGCCTGCTAAAATTCCCTTTTCTACGTAGCCCTTAAAGATACTGGACCAGTCTCCCAGTTTCTTTGGCAACTGTAGTAGGATTCTAGTTTACAAAAGCTTATGCCTTGACAAATGTGTTCCACTTTAAACTGCCACAAGACAAAACTTTAGCTACCAGGATGCCCTACTTGCTGAGCAGAGGGGCGGGTTACAATTATTATTATTATTATTGTTATTGTTGTTATTGTTATTTACTTTTTAAAAAAGTAATATAAGGCCCCCGAGTGATTATCCACCCCATCATGTTAGCAAGTGGTGCATTTTTCCAGATACTGTTGTTGATGTTATGTTTTTGTTTATATCCTGTCTTTCTCCCAAAATTGGGACTCAAAGGAACTGTAGGTTTGGTTTTCCAGTATTCTTGAATTTCAACCATGCTGCAATAAAGCTTTGCTTGTGTGTGTGGGGGGGGTGGTGGCACAATTACCAGACAGCATAAGTGCCCCCTCCTCAATAAGTATGTGTGCCTTCCCCACTCCCTGACACATTTACTTTGGGATTTTGAGGGATGTACCTGTTTTGAGAATTTATCTTTCAGAAGACATAATCAAAAACTAATCGCCCCCCCCCCCCTTTGATTTGCAGCACCAGAACTGCCAACAGAGGAAACTGTTAGAAATAAATCATAAGCGGAACTGAAATATCTCAAATCACTTCCTCTTATCCAGGCCAAGAATACTACTAACAAAATGCAGGCAGTGAAATAAAATCTTTCTTGTTGCTATTTTATATTTCTGTTTTAACTTCCAAATATTAATGAATGTTGCAAAGCAACTGCAAAATGTAAAAAAAAACAAACACCATTGTACTGGGAGCTTTTGAGCCAAAGTGCCCAGTACTGTGTTTGCAAATCTAACATGATGCACCAGGAATGATGAGATGTGGTGTGATATCAGGGTACCATAGAAGAGAGGACACCACAGTCAATGCAACAAACAGTGGTTGCAACCATCATTTCAAGCTTCTAACTCCAGATTATGCCAATCCAGAGGAGCATGTGAATGCACAGCTCGTTGCAATTTGTTCTTGCAACGTTAAATGATGTTTTTTTACTCCATTGAACTAAAGTCATTGATAGTGAAAACAATATAGTAAGACCCCCATGTCAAAGGGGAATGTGATCCTGGACTTACCATGGAAATGTGAAACCACGGATAATAGTGAATCCTATTGAAATGAATTACTTCCATCAAAAGTTGATCATAGAGCCGTGCTGAAAGACTTAGAAATTCCTAGAAAGAACACCTCTCTAGGCATTTCTAGATCCTCCAGCATGACTTATGGCCAACTATAGAATGACCATAGAATCATGTTGAAGGCCCTAGAAAATGCTTAGAACATAATTTGTTGGATATGGGTAACTAAAACCATGGGTACCAGTCCTACAGATACAGGGGTCCTACTATATTAGAGATCATATACAATGATAGAGTAATTGTACAATTATAGCATGCTTATTCACATATAATATAGTCTGAGGAGCACTTACAGAAATTTTGGAGAGTGGTTGAGCAAACCCATGTCTGACTGCATGTAGTTAAGGGACACTGAATTATTTGTAGAAGGATAACTGTGAGAGAATAAACTAAGTGTAAAAACATTTCTGCAAAATAATAATATAACACATAAGAGTGTTGGACTACAACTGGGAAGAAGAAGGCCCAGTTACCATTTCTTATTTTGACCCTCTTCACAGGCTTGTGAAGATAAAATGAGAGTGACTTGAGAAGGATCATGTAATTATGCTGGAAAAATGATGTACTAATGAAATAAAAGCATGTATATTTGTTATGAACAGTTAACTTTTCTTCCTTTCCTATTGTGTTTTCCCAGTATTGGATGTGCAATGTTTTAAAACATAAAGTTTTTAAAGAACATTCTGGGGGCATTGTACTGTTTCAAAGTGTATGGTTTTTAAGTGCTTTTATCTTTTTAAATTGTATTTTTTTAAAAAACAAGTGAGCAGTTTTAATATTGTAATAGTTTAATTCTATTTTAATGGTCTCTCTTGTATGTTTTTAATTGTACTGTGCTTCTAAATTTTAATCTGCTTTACTCTGGTTTCTCTTCAGATCGTATAAAATCTGCTTTGAGACCCAATTCTGGGAGGGAAGTAGGCTATAGATAATAATAATAATAATAATAATAATAATAATAATAATAATAATAATAATAATAATAATAATAATAATAGTTTATTTATATATCCCGCCTCTCCCTGCGGATCAAGGCAGGAGCACAAATTAAAAGAAACTACAATAAGCTAAAACATGACAATAAAACCACAATAAAAAAGCAGCATAATAGAATTAATGAATGATGATGATGATGATGATGATGATGATGATGATGATGATGATGATAAACAACAACAAACTTTTTGCACCAGAGCAAACTCGTACTTTTCTCCAGAGAATGCATCCATTATTATTACAAATACCATCTGGCACTTGCATGTACCTTGTGTAAGTGCTCTGTTTATTAGTGTTGATTATTTTTATTTATTCTCTGTGAATACAATAGTTGCCTGTGCAAGTACCACATTACAGTCACTCCTCCGTTCTTGTGGACTTGAGGTCTGCGGTTTTGCATATTCATGGAGGAGCAACCTCCGTTAAAATCAATGGAGTTGTTCCATTCAAGCCTGCGGGGCTTGAATATTGGCGAGTCTCCATTTTTGCAGGGGGGTCCGGAACGGATCCCCCGCAAAAACGGAGGGCTGACTGTATAAATTTCTGTCATATTGAGGGGGGCGGACTTTATATTGAATTGCTTCCGTGATTCTGTACTCCTGTGGAGTTCCAGTGCTGAGTGATTAATTCAGCATCAAGTCTTTTTCAAAAAATACAAATTAAAAAAAAATCAGAAGTACAATACTGGGGATCTCAGCTTATATCCCACTGCTGCTACACCAAATGTGAGGTTTCCACTTTTTATGTGAGGGCTCCATGCTTTATACCACAAAAAGTGTAGGGTTTTCTACTCAATCACACCAGGGCCACCAACAGTGTGTGGGGTCTTTACACTTGATCGCCAAATGTGAAACTTTCCACAGTGTTCACTGCAAACGCAGTGCAAGGGCTTTCTCTGATCCTTACCTCTTTCACACATAAGGACTTCTGCCTGTCCCACTTGTGTGACACCAAGGTTCCTATGAGGATTTAGACCACTTATTTTATTTATACCCCTTTAATCCTCAAGAAGGTGCCACTCTCAGTATTGCCACCACAAACATCTTGTCTGAAACCCATCTCTCAGAATGACAGTGATTCTGGAGGCCGAAAGTATACAGAAACAAAACTTTATTTACAGAAGTGAGATGTAAAATAGCACATCATTTATAATGTTTGAAACATCACTCTCCTCTCAAGTGAAATCAGATCCCTTAACAATCACACAACTCAAACACCTTTCTCTCACTCCAACCCTAATCTCACTCAAAGCCATCTCAAACACATTTCCACAACTGTACTCCTTTCAAACCCTAGGCAAAAACTGCCTCCCTGCAAATTCAATTGCCAGTCACCAACTGTCCCAAGCAAATTTCCAAAAATGTTCCATCAATCACTATCCACTTCAACAGTCCATTCGCTCCCCGCAACCACCTTGTTGTTGTTTTGTTGGTTTTGTGTCCACCTTCAACTCATTTCCAACTGTAAGGCAAACCAACTCACACAGTAAATCAAACCATCTTTTAATATACATCTTTTAATATATATCACAAAGACTATAATAAATAAATAAATAATTTAATTCTATCCCGCCCCTCTGCAGTGCACTATGCATTATGAAGGCATGGGATGTTGCATTGTGTCCAGGCTTGTGGAAGTATCATGCAAAGCATAAAATGCAGTTTCAAAATACATTTTTTGGAGGGAGGAGGAACGCAGTGTGGCTTAAGGGCCTGAGCACTGGACTACAACTTTGGAGATCAAGGTTCAATCCCCTGCATAAAAATCCCCAAGCATAAAATCCTTGGGCAAGTCACACTCTCTCAGCTTCAGAAGATGGCAATGGCAAACCCCTTCTGAATAAACTTGCCAAAAAACCGTATGATAGGTTCACTTTAGGGTTGCCCTTAGTCAAAATGTCAAAAATTATTTGGAGGCACACAACAACAATAACAAGAGTGCCTTGTAGAAGGGGCTTCGCAGTAGATGAGTGGCAAAGAAAGGTACAACACATCTTGCCTTACATACCTAAAGGAGGATGCTGGATGAGGATGTGAGAGTTTATTTGGTTCAGACCCTTCAAATCTCTTCCAACTTTTCTTTTTAAACTGAAAAGATGTAGATTAGAATAAACGTTGCTTCCTCAGCCAGTTTATCAACCTCACAGGGGAAGAAAGATTAGATTAGAGAGAAAGTCCTCTTTGATCTAAACAGACATCTTCCGCTCTCTCTTTTTTTCCTCTCTCATGAAGCTCTATGAGGGCCTTTCTTCTTTTTATTTACTCTTGCATGCAAAAAGGAATTTTCACATTTAGTCGCATACTGTTTTAATGGTATAATTTTTCTGCTAAAAGTTATCCTGGGGAACCACTTTAAATATGTATTGAAACCTAGAGACAAAAACAGCAAGCCTTGATCTTAATGGGGATAGTTCTACTGGTATTCCCATTTCAGGCTATCCTTTTTTCTAAAACAGCTTTCTCTTGGCTGGCATCTGCCAGGTGTATTCTCCATTGGCCAGCTTTGCTGGGAATAATGGGAGAGAACCAATTTCTGAAGGCTGCTTTGAGTCATCATATACCCTAATATTATTATTTGTTGTTGTTATGTGTCTTCGAGTCCTTTCCAACTTATGGCAACCCTAAGGCAAACCTAGTTTTCTTGGCAAGTTTCTTCAGAGGGGGTTTGCCATTGCCATCCTCTGAGGCTGAGAGAGAGTGACATGCCCAAGCTCATCCAGTGGGTTTTCATGGCCAAGCTGGAATTTGAATCCTGGTCTCCAGAGTCATAGTCCAGTGCTCTAACCACTACACCATGCATGCTGCAAATACCCTAATATTATCCAGAATTGTCTCAGCACTGTAACACTGAGGCCTCATTTGCACTGCAGAAATAATACAGCTTGACAACACCTAACAAAACTGCATCTATAACAGTTCCAGAAAAACATTTATTAAGGAAAATAAAGACAGGGTGACAGGGAGACATCTTCTTTTCCAGGGCATGTCCTACATTTCAATATTCTGTGCAGGTGGAATTTCAAAATATCCTCAATTTTTGAGCATGACAAGGAAGTATGGATTTACATTTTGATGATTTTTTAGCTCTTGCTTTGTAATGTCCTTCATTTTTCTTGAATGTTCTAGTGTTCTCTTTGCATTGAGGACATCTGATCACCCTGAATAAAGACTATCCTTCAATCGACTATGCCACAAAAACACACCAAAGCCCATAATGTAACATCCTGAGAACCTCAACTTTCTTTCCTTTTTCTTTTCATTTCCAAAGACATTCTAAATTCACAAGACTACGCAGATAATCTTTGAAGTTTGTCAAGAAGGCAAAGGAGGAAAATATCTTGAACGATAGAGAGAACAGGATTTCCAGATTTCAAGGACAGGATCTCTCCATCCAGCCAACATAACTTTAATTCTCTCTTCCAGAGCTATATAACATAATTCTAAGGAAAGGTACATACAATTTTGATGAATTTCATAATTGACACCTGTCACTGATTCCACCTTTTCCTGGCAGCAATATGAAGTTTATTTTTTAGCCACAGATCACATATAGATGTTGCATCTTTGTTTCCTAACTTCAACTCACTCGTCTTCCTTTTCTCCTTCTTGAGGTGAGAGTAGCTACTAGTGAAAGGGAGCAGCTCTCTGCACCATCCACAGCCAAGAGGTGATCTGAGAAATCCTGCTAACGCCAGACCAACTACTGACTGTCAGCAGTGGCAGGAGATCCCTATGGCTAGTTGGATCCAGTCTGCATGGATTGGGTTCAAGGATGGCATCTAGGGAAACCACAGTCTACAATGTTTTGGTCTACAGCCACTTTGTTGTTGTTGTGTGCCTTCAAGTCATCTCGACTTATGACAACCCTAAGGCAAATCTATCATGGGGTTTTCTTGGCAAGATTTATTTATTCTCCTGAGGCTGAGAGCATGTGACTCACCCAAGGTCACCTAGTGGGTTTCATGGCCAAGCAGGAAATCAAACCCTGGTCTCCAGAATCACAGTGCAACACCCAAACTACTACACCAAGCTGGCTCTCTAGACAACTCCTAGGCTCCCTCATTCAGCACAGGCAGTGAGTTTTTAGACCCAAAAGATAACTTCCAAGGTCTAATCTGCACTGCAGAAATAATGCAGTTTGACACCGCTTAACTCTCATGGTCCAATGCTATGGAATCCTGGGATTTGTACTCTATTGTGGCACCAGAGTCCTCTGACAGAGAGGGCTAAGTGCCTCACAAAACTACAGTTCACAGATTTCCATAGCACTGAGTGAGTGGTGTCAAACTGAATTATTTCTGCAGTGCAGCTGCAGCTTTCATTATTTCTGCAGTGCAGAATAAACCCAAATTTGAGCAAGAAATCTGGCCTACAGTTGCCCACCTTTTCCATCTCTCAGCAGCAGTCTAGTGTAAAAAGTCCACAACTCTGTACTCCTACACCATGTTGATGCCTACCCAGCCTCTACCATCCTGTCCTCCAGCATTTGCCACATGGGGCAGCTACCTCACGCTGCTAAGGATTGGTCTGGTCTGGTCTGGCATGGTTCATACTGAAGGAAAATCCACTTAGATCCAGTGACCTGCCTCTCCAATAAGGCTGCCAGAGGCGCATCCAGCTAAGGGAAGAGATAGCCTTTTACTTTTGCTGCACCATTAATTCAGTGGTCCTGGTTAGAGGTGTGGCTGAGTGTGTGTGCATGCACACATGCGCCTTCAAGCTTCCTGTCAATTTATGGCAACCCCATCAGTTTCACAGGGTTTTCTTAGGCAAGGAATACACCGAGATAGACAGTGAAATGAGCCAAACAAGAGATGCCCTTGCCTGGTAATAAAGACTATGTTTTCTTTCATACACAAATTTCCATCCCAGGCATCTGCAACAGAAAAGTCTCACACAGGCTGCATCTGCACTGTGGAAATAATCCAGTTTGACACCACTTTAACTGCTAAGGTTCCATATTGTGGAATTTTGGGAATTGTAATTTGTTGTGGCACCAGAGCTCTCTGACAGAGAAAACTCAGTGTCTCACAAAACTATAGTTCCCAGAATTTCACAGCATTGAGCCGTGGCAGTTAAAGTGGTGCCAAACCAGATTATTTCTGCAGAGCAGATGCACCCACAGCAGGGCTAAGAAAGGCTTCCGGCAAGAGACTCACAGGACAGCCACAGTTGTCAGAATAAATAAAACTAGAACAGAACTCAGGAAAGTACTTGTTTTGACTACAAATCCCAAAACCCTTAGTGGGCTGATAGCAGCTAGGGACTGCAGTCCAAAAATTAACTTTTCTAAGATCTGGTTTACGCTAGATGGCTCAGGCTACATCTACACTGCAGAATTAATGCACTTTGACACAGCTTTAACTGCCATGGCTCAATGGGATTTGTAGTTTTGTGAGATATTTAGCCTTCTCTGTCAGCTCTGGTGCCACAACAAACTACAAATCTCAAGATTCTATGGGATGGAGCCATGACATTTAAAGCAGTGGTCAAACTGTGTTAATTCTGCAGTGTGGCAGCAGCCTCAATGGTTTTGTTCAGTAAAAGATAGCTTCATATCTTCACTGTTTACATGCCTCTCCCCTTGTAAATCAGGCAAAGAGACCTGTCCATTTATTGCCCCCATCATCAATACTAAAAAGGTATTATGTTTTCCTCTTACCCCAGGCGTGTTGCTACAGGGGGCAAACTGAAGGCATTGCTCTCATAAGAATTTAGGCCCCAGATGAAACTTGCTCAAATTTCTAGCATTGCAATAAATTGAAGTTTTCAATGGAACATTCAGAAATATAATTTAGAGAGCAGGAAATGTTACCAACAAGGGGATGTGACACAGCAAATACAAGATTTCTAGTATGCAAGATTTTTCGTGTCCCCCTCTGAATCTATGAAGACTGAAGGAAATGCAATTCTTATCAGAGGAGGCAATGTCTTCACTTTGCTCCTAAGGCCTGCTCCCAATTTCTGGGAACCTTTGATTTTAATAGATATTAATTTTGAATTAACAAATAATACAAAGATATATAGATATAGATATATAGATATAGATATGAGAGCAAGAGAGAACAGACAAATAAACAGACAGACAGACACCAGTGTGGCACTGGATTACAACTCTGGAGACCAGGGTTCGATTCCCACCTTGGCCATGAAAACGACTGGGTGACCTTAGGCAAGTTACATGCTCTCAGACTCAGGGGAAGGCAATGGAAAACCTCCTTTGAATAAATCTTGCACAAAAAAGAACTTGCCATGATAGGTTCACCTTAGGGTCACTATTAAGTTGGAAACAACTTGAAGACACACAACAATAGATCAATAGTCCTTATGGCAGAACATGCTAATAAAATAAGAATACTGGTTGATTGATATTAAAATTTGTAATTTTCTTTTCTCACATACACTACTGTTCAGGTAACATCTCATAATGATACTTTCTGGCTCACACTTTCCAATGGTCATAGAATTCCTTGAAAAGGGCCTTCAAGTTGTTTAGGATAGGTCCTCTCTGCGCAAAACATTTGCTCCTCTTTTTCCTTCTTCTCCAAAAAAATTTATAAAGTTGTAGAAAATTCATTTTCTAAGAAGTCTCCATTCTTTATGCCTTATTGTCGCTTCCCAATTATCCTGCATTAGGACAGAATTATTATAAGGGATGTCCCTTATCTGAGCACTTGAAACTTTGTCCCTTTCGTACACTAAAGATACCAAAAAACCCATATATTGGGTTATGGGAGTGGTGAGAGGAGCAGATGTTCAGAAAATCTAATCAAATCTGAGGTTCAAGTTACTTTGAATTTGAACATAGCTATCATAGATTTGTTGATATGATTAAAACAGGATTGTTGATGCATGCCAAAAATGAAACCAAACAAGAATTTTCAGAAAGTACATCATAAAGTACCAGTAACTTAGGTTTGGAGAACGTGAGCAATGTGTTAATTTTACGAAGAAGTGCATAGCTCAGTTGGCTAAAATCAATATTTTTATTTGGTATTTAGGTAGAATATAACCTTATTAATACCCAGTTCATGATTGACAACCCTGTGTATCATGAATTTCTATTGTCCTTTACTGCTATTTTGAAAACCTGGCAATCCTTGCCATGATAATAGAGAGCAAAGTTTGAGATAATAGGCACAGTTAAGGCTTCCATTCTATTGCTAGGGCAAAGCAATGCAGACCCATTAAATCAGATTTAATTATGTGCTATCTCATTATTCAAAAACAGATTTAGTGGTTCTACTCTAGTTGGGAATAACCCATAGGACATACCCTCCAACATTTTACAGATAAAAACCAGGACATTCAGTAACAACTGAGTGTGATCAAGATGACAGAAATTACTAATAAGAACACGCAAGCTAAGAAAGGCTGCAGCAGTTTCTTCTTGCCTAAGCCTATTGGGAAGGGTAAGATTCCTTCCCCCACATTCTCTCCATCAACTGAGTTAATTGAGTGGAAACTACTTTTTACACTTTGAACTCAGTTTGCAACAAAGGAAGTAAGCTGAGGACAAAGGGGAGAGTGGAAGGAAAAGAGAGAAACTGGGACATTTTAAAAGCAGCTGAAAAAAAGGGGATGACAGTGGATCAATCAGGACTATCCCTGCCAAATCAGGACAATTGGGGTGTATGATAGGAGTTAAATTACATTGTGCTGCACACAATGGCAGTATTTTAATCATGTGCTACATAAGATATCTGACATGGGGAATCAGCATTTCCCTCCCACCAGTCCCAGGAACTGGCATCATATTTCTGCCCATGAGCTACAACTGTGTTGTTCTTTCCTGGAAATGC